TTTTTTTTTTTTTTTTTTTTTTTTTTGGAAACAGGGTCTTGCTCTATTGCCCAGGCTGGAGTGCAGTGGCACAATCATGCCTTGCTGCGGCGTTGATCTCCCAGGCTCAAGTGATCCCCCCACCTCAGCCTCCTTGGTATCTAGGACTACAGGCCAGTGCCATCGCACTTGGCTAATTTTTGTGTTTTTGTAAAGACAGGATTTTGCCATGTTGCCCAGGCTGGTCTCAAACTCCTGGGCTCAAGTGATCCATCTGCCCCAGCCTCCCAAAGTGATAGAATTACAGGTGTGAACCCAGTCTCTTCTATTCTTTATTGTATACCCAGTAGGAAATCCTAAACTTAAAAGACTGGGTTAAATAAAAATTCAGAAATGTCTATCTTTTCCTCCAAACAAGGAGTAATGAAAGATTACTGTGAGTCATGGTGGAGTGGAATTCTCCACAGAATCTGAGACAGGAAGACCTGCAGATCATCTGGTCCCATCTCTATCCTACTCAAGGCAGCAACCCCTTCCCACCACTCCTGCAGCATTCATTTTCAGGAACAAAGGAGCTTTCCCACAATTACTGAGTCTGACGCTTAGTTTCCAGGATAAGCCCGTACCCAACCATTCTGTCCTGTGGTTCCCAGTGATAACTCAAACTTGTTAGAATGTGTCACTTTGGGGTTCAGAAAATGCAGTCACTGAGAGAAGCCCGAGTAGTAGTTATGCTCTCCTTTGGTTCCATACCTCCCCCTCTTGCCACATCTATCCACTAGAGGGAGGAAAGCCTCGAACCTCTTTAGCCAGAGCAGGGCAGTAGCAAGGATCAGTAGTGTGGCTTCTTAACCAAGCCAGCAGTGGGGGTGTCAGAAGCACCGAAACATAATCGCTTCATTCTCTCAGAACAGAAAAGAGGAAGGGTCTCTTCCTTCCCCTTTTCAACCGTCTCTGCGTGGATTGGCACGTCACCATGAGCTGGTGCACTCACTTCCCTCAAGTCAGTGTGCAGGCTGCTTCAAAAATTCAGAGGAACGTGTACTGGGGTCTTAGGAACATTTTTAGCAATTGCAGAGGAAAAGGAAAACTAAGTATCTCTTGAATCATTCACAGAGTTCACCAAATACAACTGAAAACTGGGGGCTCCAATGTCCCTGCTACCCTGATGGTATTAGTTTAAGATGTTGACATTGACATCTGCAGAGATCTCATCCATCACTGTATACCAAAAGGCAAATGTCATTCTAGTTGAGAAACTCATGTATGAGAAAGAATGGTCATCTTAGGAAATCTGTAGCTCCAGCGGCTCCTGATGTCTTTTCCTGCTGCCTCCTGTCCCATGCTTGTGCCTCAGACAGAGCTCATTCCTAAAACCCTAGCTGACCCTCTGTGCTGTCTTTTAAGTTATAATAGTAACTGCCATCTGTTGAATATTTTGCTTTATGACAGGCACTACATTAAGCACGTTAGCATATGTCAATTGAAGCCTCACACTAAGGCTATGAACTAGATACTATCTGTCTGTAGATAATATATATCCATCTGTAGATGAAGAAACTAAGGTTGAGTAAGCTATCTAAGGTCACAGAGCCAATAAGTGCTAGAGGCAAGATTCTTATTCTGTACACTCTGCCTCAAAAGTCAATTTCTTTGACCCTAAGGGCACAAGAACCCAAATCAGGATGTGAAGCTTGGACTTTGAAGCCAAAGGAAGCTCCTGAATGATCCTGATAGACTGACAGCTTGGCGCTGTAAACAAAATCAGTCTTTTGTCAAAAGGTACCAGGAAATGAAGTTGCCATGCCACTGTTCACTCCTGTAAGAGACTCCTCCGGGCTGTTCCATTCTCTTGCTGCAATTCAGCCGGTTGAAAAACTAAGGTGGCTACACAGCGATTAACTTCAGGCCCTTCTGCTCTACTTTGAGCCTGTCTCCGGTTCATCGTTAACACTCTCCGCTCAGCACCCGCAGACTCAAGAGATTTCCAATCCCCCAATTTAGCGTGGTTCTACCTTAAGCAGAACTCCCATCCTGTTCGGATATAAGCGGGTCAAAGTGGCAGGGACCACTTCGCTGGGAAGAAAGACTGGAGCTGCGGTCTTAAAAGATCTTGGGCCGAGCGCGATGGCTCACGCCTGTAATCCCAACACGTTGGGAGGCCGAAGCGGGTAGATTATTTGAGGCCTGGAGCTCGAGACCAACCTGACCAACACGGTGAAGCTCGGTTTGTACTAAAAATAAAAAAAATTTAAAAATTAAAAAATTAGCCGGGCGTGGAGGCGCATGCCAGTAGTTCCAGATACTCGGGAGGCTGAGGCAGGAGAAACACTTGAACCTGGGAGGCGGAGGTTGCAGTAACCGAGATCGCGCCACTGCACTCCAGCCTGGGCGACAGAGCGAAAAAAATAAAAAATTAAAAAATCTTGAATAAGCACCGGAGACCCTGAGCTACCGAGTAGCGGAATTCCCTTTTCGGGTGGGGCACAGAGAGGACCAGCCCGGCCTCTGCCGGGCCCCGCCCCCAACAGGCCCAGCCGCCGGCGCCTCCTGCTAGGCCCCGCCCCGGACAGACACCCCCCGCCAGGCCCCGCCTCCTGCCCCCCGGCGCCGCGAGGTCCCGCCTCCTGCCCGGCCCAGCCTCAGGCCTGCCCGGCCCTCCGACCCGCCCCGCGGCGCACTGTGGGATCTGTCTGCTTGTCGGGTGGTGGAGGAAAAGGTGCTCCGTCATGGGGATCCAGCCGGTAAGACCCTCGTTCAGTATCCTCCACTGGGGGACCCCTCCCCATCTGGTTCTGGCCACTCAGCTCCGGACCAGGGGCTGTCGCTGTCGACCCCGCCCCGCAGGGCTCTGGGCCCACCGTGGATGCTGGGGTCCCGGTCCGGCACATCCGGGCTCGGGACCCTGTCAGGTTACCCCTCTGCCCTTGGCATGCCTCCGCGCTGGAGCTCGGGATCGCCACCCCTGGGACGGTCAGCACCCAAGCTCCGGGCTCTTTCCCAGCCTGGCGGTTACGCTGCCTCCTCTACCCACAGAGCCCAGTCCTGCTGGCCTCCCTGGGGGTGGGGCTGGTCACTCTGCTCGGCCTGGCTGTGGGCTCCTACTTGGTTCGGAGGTCCCGCCGGCCTCAGGTCACTCTCCTGGACCCCAATGAAAAGTACCTGCTACGACTGCTAGACAAGACGGTAAGTTGGGGAAGAAAGGGGCAGGGTGGAGGAGGGGACCAGAGTGCTTCTGGCATGGAGGGTACAGCACCCACGGTGGTTGGGATGTCCAAGGGACGTGGCAGCGCCAGGCGCGCTTGGTGAAACACTTGTGTCCTCCACCCTCCAGACTGTGAGCCACAACACCAAGAGGTTCCGCTTTGCCCTGCCCACCGCCCACCACACTCTGGGGCTGCCTGTGGGTAAGGAAAGTGTGGAATGGGCTCCTTTCCCTGGTATCCTCAGAAGGTGACTCCCCTCCTGGGGTCTCATGAAACAGGCTGCTTCAACCGGTTTACTCCACACACCATTCCCCTTCCCCCACTTGGCTCTGCATCCTCCAAGCTGTGAGGTGCCACTGGGCCCCTCTAGGGTGTGGCTTCCGTGGCCCCCAACCAGCTTTAACACTCAACAGTCTTGCCTCTTCCCTGCAGGATTTGCTAATTACTCCATCTGAGCAAGCACTACTAACTTTTTCCCATTGCCCAGACCCTTTTGACTCATCTGTCAAGGTCCTGGCAGTAACTGGCAGGAAACGCTGGAAATAAGCATTTCCTCAACTGGGGGCTTATGAGAGATCCAACTGAGGGTTCAACGGGGTGAATCTTCCCTGCCTGGTAACTCCTTGGAACCACAGCAGGAAGCAAGACATCTTGTTCTCTCAAATCTCTTTGAGTATTTTGAGGGATGCAGCACATCACAGACAGCCCTTATGTAGTTCTCTGCACGGTCCCCAGGCAAACATATCTACCTCTCCACCCGAATTGATGGCAGCCTGGTCATCAGACCGTACACTCCTGTCACCAGTGATGAGGATCAAGGCTACGTGGATCTTGTCATCAAGGTAAGGGGCTAGGAAGGGACCCTGGGGCTGCTTACCCATTCTTTCTGGGATTTGTAGAAATTTCTAAGATGTGCCTGATAGCCGGAAATGGTATATACTTTGTGGATATGAAAAAAGTATGAGCTACTCGGGATACTGAGGCAGGAGACTCGCTTGAACCCAGGAGGCGGAGGTTTCAGCGAGCCGAGATTGCGCCACTGCACTCCAGCCTGGGCAACAAGAGCGAAACTCTGACTCAAAAAACAAAAGAAAGTATGTAGATGGGGAAAAGATAGCACATATCTGATCCCTGCCCCAGCCTCAGGGAGGTTTAGTCAACATGGGGCTCAGAAACCATTGACATTCCAAATAAGGTATTTTTCTCTCTGTCTTGTAAGGTCTACCTGAAGGGTGTGCACCCCAAATTTCCTGAGGGAGGGAAGATGTCTCAGTACCTAGATAGCCTGAAGATTGGGGATGTGGTGGAGTTTCGAGGGCCAAGCGGGTTGCTCACTTATACTGGAAAAGGTAATGACCTGTTTTCTCCTTGAACCTGTCTCCCACTTTATCAGTTCCCATAGTCCTCTTGGCACAATATGGCTGTGTGTACACATGTGTGTGTATGTGTGTAAGGGCCGGGGCCGCCCTTCCTTCTAAACATAGCACTGATACGACAGAAAGGCATGTTTCTCAGCCCCATTTGCCACAGGAAGCAGTTCCTCCTCCACTTGAATTCTCTAGCCATGGCAGCTGTGGAGATTACTAAAGCAAACATGTGCCCCTCTTCCCCTCCTTCAAAAATTTGCCCCCCGGGGTGAGCTGTGGAGAGAGCCGGAGATAGCTTTCAGCCCTTCCCATGGGAACAGCTGGGTGCATTAGCAAGTCCCTGGAGCTGCTGTGTGTCACTTCGGAAAATAGATTCACACCTGGCTTCGTGCCTGTCTCCTTCACCAGGGAGTGACACTTTGCCAGAAGCAGTTGATAATGCTGTGTGGCCCTGAACTGACTCACAGATAGCCCTGGCCCCATTGTCCCTCAAGTATATTATTGTCAGGGCTGGCTCAAGTCAAACTTCCACCCAAGCTCCAGGATCAGATGTCATAGCAGCTGCTCAACTGGCCTCGGGCATATTTTCAACTCTGCATTTGTTTTCTAAGTTCGCTGTATTGACTTTATTCTTCCACTGCTCTCTTCACTTGACTTCTCAGGGCATTTTAACATTCAGCCCAACAAGAAATCTCCACCAGAACCCCGAGTGGCGAAGAAACTGGGAATGATTGCCGGCGGGACAGGTGCATTACACTGAGGGCCTTTCTCTCCCACTATTGTTGCCTGTTGCCATGCAAATTCCTAGGTGACCCTCTGAAGACTGGTAATCATAGCCAAGCTGTTCATCAGGGGATTTCCAGCAATGCTTAGAGCTCCCTAGCATATGAAAACAAAATCATAACCAGGTAGAAACCAAAAAAATTTTAACTGATGGAATTAGAGAAACAAATTAAATGGGTTTTCCTCATATTATGGATCTAATAGTTTTTAGGTGAGAGAAGAGAGAAGCAGCTAGGAATGACTAGCTAGGAAGAAAGAAAATTAACATTAGACACTACCATGTATTAGACACTGTGTAGTCTAATACACTACTATATATTAGACACATAAATTAGACACATATATATGTATCTATGAAGTAGGTACTAGCCTTTCCCTTTTACAGAGAGACAATGGAGGTCCACAGAGGCTAAATGATTTCCACAGGGTTATTTCACTTGTAATGGCCTAGAGCAAAATTAGTATCTGGCTCTACCTAATGCCTAAGTACATGCACTTAACCTCTGCAAATACAGTGTTCTAGAACCCTCGTCTTTGAATCTGGAGGTACTTGTAGTCATCCGTGACATTGAAGTCCTAGCCTCCAAAGGACTTTCATTAAGAGTCTTAGATTGGTTCCTAAGAAAGATTTCTACAATATGAACTCATATGAATTTGAAGGGTGCCTGGAAATGCAGATGTTGGAGAATATGCAGGAGGAGTTTAGAGGATGAGAATGCTAAAGGAAAATGGAGCGCAGTGGTGAATGAGCAGAATGAAGATGAAAGGGCTGGTCAGCTAAGGACCCAGGACAGGGCAGAGTGTGGCCAGTACATTTCATTGTGGGGTATCTTCATGCAGGAATCACCCCAATGCTACAGCTGATCCGGGCCATCCTCAAAGTCCCTGAAGATCCAACCCAGTGCTTTCTGCTTTTTGCCAACCAGGTTGGTTTGCTTTCCTCCACCCTAAGACTTCAAAGTTGCTGTGTGGGTAGGGCTAAGAGACACGGTATGGATGGGCAGAACTGGCCCAGTGCCCTGTTTTAGCTTCTGCCCAAGGTCCCCTCTGTAAGGTACAGGGTCCTCTTTCAATAAGGAGGAGAAAGGACAGAGCACTGAATCACATTCCTTCGCTGGCCCCCAAGGAAAGAAGAAAACTTTTAAGGCATCTAGTCTGGAGCACAGAAACTTAGATCTTCTTGATTAAATATTCATCTTTATTCCTTCATAATATGTAGATAAAGGCTGTTCCCCTCTTCTCCTTATCCTAACTCCCTAAAAGCACTGCAAGTCTTGCTTATTTCCTAGAACTTTTGCATTCCCTTAACATTCTTTTTCTTAGTTGAAAAGTTGTTATAGCAGAAAACTTTTTATGTGGGCCTGAGAAGACTCCTAAAGACTTTCCTTTCCCTTTGCATTTCAGACAGAAAAGGATATCATCTTGCGAGAGGACTTGGAGGAACTGCAGGCCCGCTATCCCAATCGCTTTAAGCTCTGGTTCACTCTGGATCATCCCCCAAAAGGTATCCTTCCCATTTCTGGACATCCCACTAACCCCTCATCATCAAAATCAAAGCCTTGCCCCTTTGTGAGTTCTGGCTTTGGTCAAATCAACCTTGCCTCACACTGCCAACTCGGAAGTCTGAGTGCACAGACACAGGGATCTCCTGGTCCCTTTTCTCTGGGTTCCTGTTTACCAGGTGGGTGACAGGGATGGCTGTGCTGCTAAGGCTTAGCCTGAGGCAGGCTTAGTATACCCATTCCCAACTGCTGCTACTACTTGACATTTTCTCCATAGCTTTTCAGGGCCCTCGCCAGTTTCATGGCACCACACCCGCTTGCCAGCATGTATCTGGAGTATTAAGTACTTTCTTCTCCCCAAACTTCAGATTGGGCCTACAGCAAGGGCTTTGTGACTGCCGACATGATCCGGGAACACCTGCCTGCTCCAGGGGATGATGTGCTGGTGCTGCTTTGTGGGCCACCCCCAATGGTGCAGCTGGCCTGCCATCCCAACTTGGACAAACTGGGCTACTCGCAAAAGATGCGATTCACCTACTGAGCACCCTCCAGCTTCCCTGGTGCTGTTTGCTGCCATTGTTCCCCATCAGTACTCAAGCACTATAAGCCCTAGATTCCTTTCCTGAGAGTTTCAGCTATTTTCGTTCCATCTAGAGCTGAAATCTGGATAGTACCTGCAGGAACAATATGCCTGTAGCCATGGAAGAGGGCCAAGGCTGAGTCATTCCTTGGAAGGCCTCCTAAATCTCCCCGTGGCAACAGGTCCAGGAGAGGCCCATGGAGCAGTCTCTTCCATGGAGTAAGAAAAAAGGGAGCATGTATGCTTGGTCCAAGATTGGCTAGTTCCTTGATAGCATCTTAGTCTCACCTTCTTTGTGTCTGTGATGAAAGGAACAGTCTGTGCAATGGGTTTTACTTAACCTTCACTATTTAACCTATGGGCAAATCTGTACATGTGAGTATAAGTTCAGCATACTTCCAGAGGTATCTTATGGAGATGGCAAGAAAGGAGGAAATGGTTTCTTCAGATCTCAAAGGAGTCTGAAATATCACATTTCTGTGTGTCTCTCTCTCAGCCCCTGCCCAGGCTAGAGGGAAACAGCTACTGATAATCGAAAACTGCTGTTTGTGGCAGGAGCCCCTGGCTGTGCAAATAAATGGGGCTGAGGCCCCTGTGTGATATGGAAAGGGTTGTTGTGTCTGGGGTCCTTGTTTCCAAATCCCCGAGGACCTAGGGAGGAAGGGTTTGCCAGCATGGAACTCTCCCAGGTGTTCCAAAGAACCTTTGAGAAGTTATACCATGTGCTGAAATATTAGCTGCCAGCAGACTCAGTGATCATCTCAGCAGCTGTCTCAGCAGAGGCAGAGCTCTGCTTCTCCCTGGAGGCTCTCAAGGTGGGGGAAGGAGAACACACATTAGAGGGGACATTTTTGAGCCCACTTGCTCCTCACAGTGTTCCCTTGATATGCTACTCTTCCCCTTCCTCCTTCTCTTGGCCCATCCTTCACCATATTTATCCTTCAGGGAACCTGGCACACAAATCAAAGTATTGCCTTTCTGTTTGGAAGAGGAGCCTTCTTTAAAAAGTAACCTGACATCACCAGCCCTGGCCAGACTTGTTGATGTCCGGATAGAGTTGGCCTCCCCCAGGCCCATCTGTCCTGAGCGCCCTTCTCCTCTGCTATGAGAGCATGACCCAATCTACTCCCTTTCCCAGGGTAGGACTAGGGCAGCCTCTCTAGATTCTTCTTTGTTACTTTCATTGCAACAAAACAATGTGGTGGGCTCAGAATGAAGGTCAACATTGCTTTTCTGCTTTTCAGCAACTGTTTATTGCTGTTTCTGGGACTTCTGAGAGAAAGGTTTGTAGGACCCTCAGAATTCACCCCTCCCTAGGGCAGAGCCTTCACTAAATTCTGTTGATGGTGTGCCATCCAACGTTTCTTGATCAGCTAATATGTGTATGCACTGTGCTCTGTAACACAGTCTCAGCCACCTCACCTCCAGGAAGGAAAATCTTGCTTAGGAATGTTGGGCTCAGACAGTGAAGCAGGCTGGTAAAGAGAATTTCCCATGTGGAAGATCACCATTCCTTGTCTTGCATGGGTTTTTGCCTCATCCACTCAACATACAAACGTTTATTAAGGATCTGTCACGTGCTAGGCCCTGAGGATACAAGTGTGACCAAGACTGGTCTTAGACTCCCAAAAAACTCACAGTCTAAGATAGACAAGTGACAAATAATTATAACACAGTGTGACTAATACCATAGCAGAGGTACACACAAAGCGGGAAGAGGTTGAGAAAGATTCAGAAAGGGAGGAAGGGGGGAAAGAGAGTTAACATTTTTGACAGCCTGGGCAACATAGTGAGACCCTATCTCTACAAAAATAAAAAATTAACTGGGCATGGTGGCACGAATCTGTAGCCCAGCTACTTGGGAGGCTGAGGTGAGAGGATCCCATGAAGCCCAGGAGTTCAAGGCTGCAGTGAGCTATGATCTCATGATCGCACCACTGTACTCCAGCCTAGGTGACAGAGTGAGAGCCTGTCCCTAAAAATACAAAAATATTTTGAGCCATGTACCAGGTACTGTGCTAAGTACTCGATCTACATCACATAATTTAATCCTTATGATAATCATGTGACTTGAAGATTAATACTTTGCCAAATGTCATACAGCTGGTAAGTGGCTGGCAGAGCCTAAATGTAAATTTAGGATTGTCTGAGGCCAAACTCAAACCTAGAAGTGGGCATTGTAATCTGCTGGCATCTTGCAGCAGACAATGAGAAGGGCAGTCCAACAGAAGGATCAGCATGTGCAACAGCCTGGAGGAATGAAAGAGAAGTTCACTTTAAAGAACTAGTTCACCAAGGCCCAACATGCCAGAGGGAAAATGGAGGATGAGGCCTTAGAGGTTACAGCCAGCTCACAAAGGGCCTTGAAACACTATGCTGAAGAAACCTGGACTCAATCCTTTGGACAGTGGGAAGTTTCTGAGGGTTTTATACAACGGGCAACACGTTAATAGCTAACATTTAGAAAGCACTTACCATTGACCAGGCCTCATCATAAGAACCTGCATGAATTATCTCACTCAATCCTGACAAAGACCCAATGAAATAGTATTATTTTATTTCCATTTTTCAGATGAGGTAATTATCATTTGGAGGGATTTAGTAATGTGCTCAAGATTATAGACTGGCCTGGGACAGAAGCATGGCTCTGTGTGACTCCAGAGCCCATGCTTTTAACCAGGACCAAGAGAATTAACGCCACGTCCCTGAGGCACCTATATCAGATTACAATGAGTCACTTTCTCTGCCTCTAGAATGGCACTAGTTGCACAGTGAGCTATGATCTGATGATTGCACCGCTGCACTCCAGCCTAGGTGACAGTGAGAACGTGTCCCTAAAAAAAAAATTAAAACTTTTTTTGAGTTAACAGCCATATCGAGGTACTGTGCCAAGTACTCTATCTATATCACATAATTTAATCCTTATAATAATCCTGTGAGTTGAAGGTTCGCTCACAAGAGGAAGATCGACATTGCTTTTCTGCTTTTCAGCAACTGTGTATTGCTGTGTCTGGGGCTCCAGAGCGTGGACTCTAGAGTCACATAGAGCCAAGCTTCTGTCCCTGGCCAGTCTGTGACCTTGAGCACATTACTGAACCCCTCCAAATGATAGTTACGTCATCTGAAAAGTGGGAATAAAATAATACTATTTCATTCTTGGGAGAAATGAGAAAATGGCAGACCCTGAAATCCCCTTCTGTGTTGTGTGGTTCAGACAAGGGCTGTACTATACCCTATGTCGTCTCCCCGATCTGCACTCTGGGTGCCTGTAGCAGCAGGAGCGGGGGCACGGGTTCACCAGCAAGAGTGGTTAGAAACAATTCCGCTCTCTGACAAGAAAATAACAGGAGGCAGACTGAGGTCTAGCCCAGGGCCTGGCACATGGTAGGCGCTCAGTAGTTTGTGGGAGGGAGGGACTGTGCGGTTGAAGAAGGGATTAAGAAGTGTTTCAGAGATGAAACGACTAGCCTTGGGGACAGAGGAGATGAGAGACAAGGTGTATGGTAGAAAATTCAGTATTCCCTCCCGACGTTCGGCCTCATTCTCTGAAATTCCTTCTCCATCACGCACTTCAGGCTGCGATAACGAAGTGGAACGAGGTGGAGTGTGGAATCTGACGAGCGACCGCAAGCCCAGGGCGGGTGGAGGTTACCTGGCCGCGGCGGAGGGGGTGGACAGGCGGCAGGGAAGGCGGGGCGGCAGAGCTGGGCTCCGGGCGGGAGGTGTGGCCGGCGGGCGCGGGCCTGTGATTGGGACTCCGCGAGAAGGCCTGGGATTGGACGGGCGAGGCAGAGCCCGCGAGGAGGTGACGCGGCTGCGGAGGTGACGCGGGCGGTCGCGCGCCCCTTCCGGCGCGGGGAGGGCGCTGAAGATCGGGGCCGCTCGGCCGCAGGCCGCCTCCAGCGCCGCGGGATGTAGCGCGGGGGACCGCGGCCCCCAGCAGAGCCCGCCCGCCTGGCTGTAAGTCTCCCCGGGGCTGCGCGGTGGGCGGGGACTCGGTGGGAGCGCGGGGACCCGGGGGCCCCGACCCAGGCCTGGGGAGGAGACAGCCGTTGAGGCAACCCGCTCCGAAGTGCCAAGGGGCCCGGGCCCCAGCCCTGGAGCCGCCCGGCCTCCCAGCGTCCAGCCGGTTGAGGTTGTAAACATTTCCGGCCCCTCCCACTGCGCGCCGCCTCCGAAGAGGCCTAGGTGCAGTGGGCGCTAGTCCCCGGCTGTCTCCCGACTCCCGACAGTCTTGTGAGTGCTGCGCCTTTAGCCCCACGGGGTAGAGATGCATGGGTTCCCGGGATCGGGACTAGACAGCCAGAGCTAAGCCTGGCCCCGAGGCCGCCGCGCGTGGGCAGGGAGTGCTGCGGCCTAGGTCGCGAACCGCCTCTCAGCGGGGAACAGCCGCACGGGGTGGCGGGGAAGCCCAAAGGTTCCTGCACCAACAATCTTTGGCAAGCCACGTCGTGACAGTGCCCTCACTTTGATGGGGTGGGAAGGGAGGTTGGTGATCGCTCTGCAGGGTTAAGGAAATCCTGAAGGCTGAAATGCGGGGCAGAATCGAAGCTACTTTGGGGGAAAATGAAATTTCATTAGCTGAGATATCTAGGATTGATGTATACTATCTTCTGTTTGAGAATTTTGGCCTTCAAGCCTTCGATTTTAAGAAAATAGGTAAGTGTTTCCCTCTGGTGCTCCGTGGGAGAATGGGAAACTGACAAGGCCAATTTCAGTTTACACCGTTTCAGATGTCAGAGGAGCACCAGGAGGCCATGGTTCTTTAGTAGATTAACCATAGTACTTCCCTCAAATAATTTGGAAGACGGGCTAGAAAATACAGCTGAGAATACATAGGCTGCGGTCTTCAAAACAAATGAAGATTATAATGGCTGATTCTTTTCTGAAATGAAGTAATAGTGGGGTCTGTTCACTGCTTTTCTCTTTTGCTAGTAGTTGGGTAGGGCACCATGGTGCAACTTCGGTTCCTGAGGTTGTATAGTATCTGTATACTGCCAGGAATTTAGGGTGGTGCTAAACAGATTGCAATGTCGGGGTTCCGGCTTGCAGCCACTAAGTGTATTTACTCCAGGAGTAACTTTTATGTACCCATATTGTAATTTGCACTTGGGAAATCAGTCATAAAAACCAGTGTTACCTGTGAAGGCCCATGTTAGGGTAGACCTCCGCAAAACTATACCTAATTGTAGAGTAGAATCTGAAAGCCTTCTATTCTCAGTGGTCAAGACTTTGCCTGCAGGTAGGAGAGAATCTCAGAAAAGTAACAGGAAGCAACATTAATCCACCGATCCCCATTGCTGATTTATAAAGTACACCACCTTAAGTAGGCTTTTAGGCTATTTTCAGTTTCTTCAGTCTGGCCTCATTTTACCTTTCCAGGACTCTTTGGAAAAATGAATTGTTTACTGCCCTGGGGACTGTGTTCTTTCATGTCTTGTTCACACCATATATGCTCCTGGAATGCCCTGTTTCCATCTCCACCTATCAAGCTCCTTTCATAAAATCTTCCACAAAACTTTTCTGATCACTTCAACTGAAGTTGCGCTTTTCTTTTGAATTCCTCCTGCACATAATGGCACTAAGCCTTGTAGAATGATATTAGGAAAGTTATTTCCCCCGTTTAGAGGCCAACAACCATTTCAACCCTCTGACTCCTCTTTGCTTTGTCTCTGTGACCACAACACCATGCATATTGTAAGTAATCCGTATTCTCAGATTAATGAAGGTTAAGAAATTGCCCTTCTTTCTAGGCCAGTATATTTGTTCTCTGTTTCCTTAGGAAATTTCCTTTGACTTCTAATACAAAGTCAAACTGAAAACCTTTAACACTCCTACCACATTATCCTGTCCCATCTACTTATTATCACACAGGTAAGATAAGCAGTCATCTTTATATCTAGAAGCTTTGTGAATTATGGTGAGGTTTTTTTCTTGGGTCAGTACTCATCAATGTTGTTATGTCCATTTGTCCCTAATGTCACTTCCTGGACTTTGTTCCTCTCACCATGCTCGAAGTTGATTCCTTTTTCCTGCTCAGAAATGTTGGGGGCACAGGCCAGGCATGGTAACTCATGCCTGTAATCTCAGCACTTTGGGAGACTAAGGCAGGTGGATCACCTGAGGTCAGGAGTTCAAGACCAACCTGATCAACATGGCGAAACCCTGTCTCTACTAAAAATACAAAAATTATCCGGATGTGGTGGCAGGTGCCTGTAATCCCAGCTACTTGGGAGGCTGAGGCATGAGAATGAATTGCTTGAACCTGGGAGGCGGAGGTTGCAGTGAGCAGATCGTACCACTGCACTCCAACCTGGGGGATAGAGCAAGACTCTTGTCTCCAAAAAAAAAAAAAAAAAAAGTGGGAGCTGGCATTGGCTGGGCGCAGTGGCTCACACCTGTAATCCCAGCACTTTGGGAGGCTGATGCAGGAGAATTGCTTGAGTCCAGGAGTACTAGGCTGCAGTGAGCTATTATCATGCCACACACTCCAGCCTGGGCCTGGAACTGACTGAACTGGGAGCAAGACCCTGACTCCAAAAATAAAAAATAAAAAATGGGCTGGCGTTAAAATCCTTCATATGCCTGTATACTGTTCATTTTTTTTTTTTTTGTCATAACATTAGCAAAGTTTGCGTGTCTGTTAGGGCTCAAAAACACCTCTTCAGTCAGGCACAGTGGTTCATACCTGTAATCCCAGCACTTTGGGATGCCAAGGCTGGAGGGATCGAGACTAGCCTGGGCAACATAGTGAGACCTCGTCTCTACAAAAACTAAACAAAATTAGCTGGGCATGGTGGCACATGCCTTTAGTCCCAGTTACTAAGACTTGGGAAGCTAAGGTGGGAGGATCGCTTGAGTCCGGCAGGTTGAGGCTGCAGTGAGCTGAGATCACCGCACTCCAGCCTGGATGACCGAGCAAGACCCTTTCTTAAAAGACTTCTTCTGTTGGAGAAGAACTACGAAGGAAGTCAGATTGTTTTTCCACTTCAGACTCTGGGACGCTTGGCATCAAGTAGGAGAGCTAAGGCCCTATTACTGTAGTTTGGTGATTTCAAACATGTGCTTTTGCTTTGACTCATATTTCTCCAACAAAGCTGTGAAACTATCCTCCCTAACATACAGTAGATAAGGGGAAAGATGACTGTGTTCTTTATCTATACTGCTAGACTGGTCTTGCTTTAGCACAAGAATCAGGCTAGGCATGGATAGAGCCTACCCACAGACTCTCTAAAGGCCCGGGAACTAAACTCTTAGAAACTTTGTGTCTTTGCCTCCCGGAAAGGTGTGCTATAACCTGGAAAACTTGGGAATTGGTTCACAGTATAAATGTCTCCAAAAACTATCAGTGAAATAACTCTCCAGCTAACTGGCTGGTGATTAAAAATCAGTCTTTTCCCCAAGTTTGGCACAAGATTATCTTATTTATAGGAGTACAAACACCTCCCTGCTCCACAGCTTTACTCTCTAATATCCTAGGTTTACCCAGTTGGAAAGCTTAGTGGTAAAAGTTTATTAGCTTGAGTTGAAGAAATCCCATCAAAAATGCACTCAGTCGAGTTTGGCTCAAATATAATTTGCAATATTGGGTGTGGCAAGCTTGAGGGGAAAGGCATTTCCTCTAAAATACATAAGGACATAGAAAACTGGCAGAAAGTTGGCTCTCCTAGGATCATTCTAACACCTTAGGGGTTTGTTCTGATTTTACATCATAGACTAAAACTCACTTGTAATTCTCCATTGTTTGTGAGTGATCCACCCCATAGAAGTGGTATTTTCAGATCCTAGTATTATTTGCTCTTCTTTCTTGCCAGACGTCCGATCCCTATCTCTCCCTTTCCTGTCTCTGTGTTACTACAGTTTAGAAGACCAAACTGGACAATGGACTTTGCTCACTATGATGACATGATCTCCATTGACCTCCATTGTATGTACTTTAATGCATGATGATATATTTTGTATGATGAGTTGTAGCTGTTGGCTGGTTTGTGAGTTAACTGGGGTCTCAGGTTTTGGTGACTCTGGGTCTAGAAGATGTGTAGAGGTGATGTAGGAGCTAGTGATAGAGGAGCTAGAGGGAATCAAAAGAACTAATAGTAATTGTGTTGGACTGAAAAGGGAAAAGGCTGATGATAACCAGAAGACTTGAGGGCATAAAAACTTTTCAGATCAAATGATGAAATTAGTAAGAATGCCAAGCTGGATTCTGCATATGATCTTTGGACCCTAATTGCCCACCTTAAATTTTCTCTATATTATTCTCATTGCCTCTAGTAAAATAGTTACATAGCACTCAAAATGACTAAATTTAGTGTGTGACCGTTCTAGTTGAGGGGTTCTCTCCCTCCACTGCCCTCCTGGAGAAATCAAATTGTATCACTTATTTTTGTGCATATAACAAACTACCTATGTTATCTGGCTCTTTGAAAACAATGCTATAACTTGTTCAACTTGTATTTTGCACAGTATCTTAGAATGCCTTAGGGTGCTATTCCTAAATACACTTGCTAAATAATGAATGTGTTGACTTACTCTGGGGAAAGGGATAGGAGAAGCCACCACAAGCACAAGAAAATGTGCATAAGCCCTTATCTAAGTGGCTAGAAGTTAAGTCATATGCTCGCAAGCTGGAATCTGCCCCGTTCATTCATTTTGAAATGGGTTCTAACCAAAATAAAGTATATTTATTATCTTATGATCCGTGTGTTGCATCTCAGAACCAGAATTTTGTTTTGTTTTTTTTGTTTCTGCCCTGGTGGTCTGATCTAAATTACTGCCAACAGTATCGCAAGCTAAGTGTGCCCCTCTTTTCAGATTTATCCAAGATGCCCAAAACTATTTATGTTTTTTGCTTGCGATATAAAGTGTTTGTTTTTTGTTTTTTGTTTTTTGCTTGCGATATAATGTTTTTTTTTAGTAAAGGTGCTGATTCAGTAGTACTTCACTTTGAGGAAATATGTTTTGAGGTCAGCCTATTGAGAAAGATTTCCTAGTGTCCCTGTCATGTGGGTTGCCCATCCTCAAGGTTTTCAGAGTCCTTCAGCTTCCTGTTCTCCTTGAGCTCAATTGTTCACTATGACTGTGTGCTGGCATCTCATCAGAGTCTTGCACATTTAAAGGAAGGGGAACTGCCTATGTGTTGACACCATATAAAGGTCTGCTGTATAGCAAGTTATTGTTTTTGTCTCTCTTGGACTAAATTGCTGGTTGCTTTCAGCTGTGCTTGTGGGTTGAGCGTAGCATGACTCATGACTGTTTAGAAGCTTGAGGATTGCCCTTACCTGATGTGTTAGTAAGTGTTTCTCCAGAAAGCACCAATAGGATACATACATATGGATAGAGGTGGGATTTATTAGGGGAATTGGCTCATGAGATTACGGAGACTAAGTCCCACAGTATGTCATCTGCAAGCTAGACGAGGGAAGTCCGTAACTGGTTCAGTTTAAGGCTGAAGGCCTGAGAACCCAAGGGGCTATTGGTGCACGTCCCAGAATCCCAAGGCAGGAGAACCTGGAGTTTCTGATGTCCAAGGGCAGGAAAAGAAGGGTGTCCCAGCTCCAGGAGGGAAGGAGGGGGAGAGAGAGAGACAGAGAGACAGACAGAGTTAGGGAGTCAGAGAAAGAGATTTATAATCCCTGAGAAGGAATTGTGATTACTCTTAGATAAAAAAGAACTAACACAAGATATCAAAGATATTTGTATATAGTGAATAGCCATGGATGATATAGTGTCTCCCTCAGGAGCAAAGTTATGTTTACTGCCCAGTATAAAAGATTGGAGCTCCCTAAGCTTAAGTTTCCTCTCCCGGAATGCAACCCACTCCATGCGCAGGTGTTACCTGGCCCTCCCTGCATTGCAATGTGGTTATTTGGGTTTGGGTGGGGCTTGGGTAACCAATGCCAGAAAATGCTAATATTCTGGCAACTGCTATTGCTATAACTAATAAAGTCCTTTGTGTGGGGTAGGGGTGGGGAAAGAACTAATCATTTAGAGCATAGTGGAAATCTTTGGAAACTTTTCTCCCTCTTTCCCTCTTTTTTTATTTGCATTTCCCTGAGGCCTGATTAAAGACTACTGTGAAAATCCAACCCAGGAAAACCTAAAGTGTCCGAGATTTTTCCTAGAAAATGGAATTCTGGGTTTTTCTGATTTTGTGTGTGCCTGTCTCTAGTTTCTGAAATACTCATTTGAGTGGGGCTTAGATTATGGGTTGTGGTGGTTGAAACAAGTTCTTGCGGAGCTGGTTATTAGGTATGTGTGTGGCAAAGGGTAAACTGGGGCTGCCTCCTTGTCTTTACCTTCCTGCTTCCAGGTAAGTTCTTGCTTGCTTGCGGGACAGATTGTAATGAAAGCTTGTTATCCCAGGGTTGAACTCAGGCTATAATGCTATAATAGAATTAGTAGACTTCGCAGAGAAATTAACCACTAGGCATCTGTCCCATAACCAAGTTCCTTTTGTATGCATGACACATTTATCAAAGCATTTGTAGATAAGGTCCAACTGAGTTCAGTTGGCATTTAATTCATTTCTAAGCCTGGATGATCTTGTAGTAATTGCAGCCAGATGATGGCTTCATATTTTTGTTCCTCAGTCTCAGAGCTAGGCCTTTCTTGGGCAGAGTGAGCTTTGGGAGTGGTAGGTGAGACTCTTCTCACTAAATGGTTCCGTACCTGTGGGAGTGAGTTGAGGGTGGGTAGCTGTTTTTCTGTGGTGACAGTTTGGTGCAGTAACCTTAGATCATTTGAAAGCAAGCAACTAGGTGTTACATTTTCAGCCTTACTTATAAGATCAGTGAGGTTCTGGGTAAAGGCTGACGTTAAAGAGGGAGGACAGGAATAGATTTCATTTAAGCAATTAACTGGCCTTTAGAATTGGAGACAGGATATGGGTTGATTAGCTTCTTATTCAATATTAGAGTATAGAAATGAAACTGTAAGAGGAATAAATTGTCAATCCTTCATATTTGTGTTTGCTTTTAGTGTCTACTATCACAGGGAGATCTCTGCCCCCTGGGGCTGAGAGACCCCAACCTTTCCCCAAGCTGAAGCTGCAGGGTATTGAGGTACCAGCCAGATGTCTTCCCACAAAGGATCTGTGGTGGCGCAGGGGAATGGGACTCCTGCCAGTAACAGGGAAACTGACACGGTGGAACTGGCTGAACTAGGACCCCTGCTAGAAGAGAAGGGCAAACGGGTAATCGCCAACCCAACCAAAGTAAGTCATCTTCCGAGGAGTCATCCCCTTGTTTAGTTTCTCTCCTTAGAACTCTCTCAGTTTCTCTTTTTTAAGATCTCACTGTCCAAAAGGAGGAACATTGCATTCTGGAAATGTCTCTATCCGAGTCTCTATCATACTATTATAAACATCTTGTTGTCCCCATTGTAAGCTTTTGGGAATTCACTCATCTTTGTAACGCCAGTGCCTAGCACAAGGCCTGCAGTCCAATAAATAATCAGTAAATATCTGAATGAATGAAGGAAGCAGTCAATTAGGATTAGGTTTGGCTTCATATAACACACAAAAATCCTTACAGCTTTGACAGGACAGAAGTCTCTCAAGCAAAAGAATTTCAGAAGTAACCAATCCAGGGCTAATATGGAGACTCTACCACTGTCAGGCACCTGTGTTGCTCCCCCATCACTCTTAATATGTTGCCCATCATACCCACATTCTACCCCCCATGAAGGGAAAGGAGAAGAAAGGCCCTCTCTTTCCCTTTTATTCTTATTGAGATAAGGTCTTGCCATGTTGCCCAGGCTAATCTTTTAAACTCCTAGGCTCAAGTGATCCTCCTGCCTCAGCCTCCCAAAGTGTTGGAATTACAAGTGTGAGCCACTGTGCCCGGCCACCTCTTTCCCTTTTAAAGGGACTATCTCTACTAAAAAATACAAAAATTAGCTGGGTGTGGTGGCAGTCGCCTGTAATCCCAGCTACTCGGGAGGCTGAGGCAGGAGAATCACTTGTACCTGGGAGGCAGAGGTTGCAGTGAGCTGAGATCCTGCCATTGTACTCCAGCCTGGGCGACAAGAGTGAAACCCCCTCTCAGAAAAACAAAAATAAAGGGACTATCAGGAAGTACCTCATAACACTTAGGCCAGAACTTACTTACATAGCTATATTCAGCTGCAGTGGAGGTTGGAAAGTGCAGCCTGAGTAAAATTGCAGTAACATTGCCACCCTGAACAAAACTGTGGACTTTGTTACTTAGGAAGAGAGAGAATGGACATTGGGGTAGGCTGGCTGGAAGCTGTAGCACAAAATCTAAGATGGACAATGTGTTTACCAGTGACCATCAACAACAGGAGAGAAATAGCCCAGAAAAGGAGTTGAACTGCCAGGCTTTCTGTAGACATGATTCAGAGCCTTGGGATAGAGAGAGAGAAAAAAGTTCCCTTCCTTTCACAGGCAAGTGCTCTCCTGGGTGTGCTCTTTTAGGCCCTGGAGTCAGTACTGCTGTTTTCCATGGAACCAGTTTGGAGGCCCTGGTACTCCTGGGAGCTGCTATAGATACAAAGTTGCAATCATGACAGCATCCCTAGAGTCAGTGAACAGGGAACTCTGAACAGAATTATTGTTATGGAACTCTCTGAGACTCTGTCTTTTTCATTGTTTTGAAAATGTAGGCTGGGCTGGTAGCACAGCCTGTAATCCCAGCACTTTGGTAGGCCGAGACGGGAGGATCACTTGAGGTCAGGAGTTCCAGTCTGGCCAACATGGTGAAACTGCATCTCTACTAAAAGTACAAAAATTAGGCAGGCGTGGTGGTGGGCGCCTGTAATCCCAGCTACTTGGAGGCCAAGGCATGAGAATTGCTTGAACCTGGGAGGCGGAGGTTGCAGTGAACAGAGATTGCACCACTGTATTCCAGCCTGGGTGACAGAGGGATATTCCATCTCAAAAAAAAAAAAGAAAAGAAAGAAAGAAAATGTAATGGCCTAGAAGAGAGAACTCTTTGAGAAACTGAGGAAAGTTGAGAACCACTATCCTAGAGGAAAGGATGTCATTCAGTACCTAGAGCTGGTATGCTAATCCTGCATTCCCCCAATGCTAGTCTCTGTGAGAGCCCTTTTACACACTGCATAGAATGTCCACTCCAGCATTTATGAAGTATTAATAAATTTCTAACTAGTATTGTAAACTAAGTATGTATGCTTTTGGAGAAGAGACCACAAGACCCTCTGTAGGAAAGAGGCTGGGCAGAAGGCGTTAGGTTTGGGTTTTTCTGGGTCTCTGCTCTGGAATAGTACAGTTTATGAGATGACTCCCTGGATTGTTGTGGGGTTTTTCCCCCACAGGCTGAAGAAGAGCAAACATGTCCAGTGCCCCAGGAAGAAGAGGAGGAAGTGCGGGTACTGACACTTCCCCTGCAAGCCCACCACGCCATGGAGAAGATGGAGGAGTTTGTGTACAAGGTATGGCCTATGAGTTTCTGTCCTGGAAGAGGAAGGGCAGCAGGCCTGTCTGGGATGTCCCCAGCCAGCAAGCTTCCACTGGGTTGAAGAGCTTTTACTCCTGGGAAGGAGTGGATTTGCCATCTACTCCCTGGATCCTGTCCATAGTGCATGGATCCTAGATTAAGAACCCCTACTCTAAAAAGACGTGGTAAAGAACTTAGAATCTAATTGGTGGAGGGATGGGACATGAGATAGAATCTCCTGGAGAGGGGCAAAGGCGGGATCTGTGTGCTTTTTAAAATGATGTTTGTAATTGTTTTGTTTTTATTCAGTATATCAATTTTGAGATTTCAAGTAGCCTAAAGGAAGTTGTACCATATTTTTTTTTTTTTTTTTTGAGACGGAGTTTTGCTCTTGTCTCCCAGGTGCAATGGCATGATCTCAGCTCACCGCAACCTCTGCCGTCCGGGTTCAAGCCATTCTCCTGCCTCAGCCTCCCGAGTAGCTGGGATTACAGGCATGTGCCACCACGTCCAGCTAATTTTTGTACTTTTAGTAGAGACAGGGTTTCTCCATGTTGGTCTGGCTGGTCTTGAACTCCCAACCTTAGGTGATCCGCCCGCCTTGGCCTCTCAAAGTGGTGGAATTACAGGCGTGAGCCACTGTGCCCAGCCTGGTTGCACCATATTTTCTTAAAAGGTTGAGAAACACTTACTTAAAACTTCTCCAGATAAACTAACATAAAACAAAGACAAAGGGATTTTTTTTTTTTTTTTTTTTGAGTACAGAGTCTTGCTTGGTCACCCAGGCTGGAGTGCAGTGGTGCAGTCTCCACTCACTGCAACCTCCGCCTCCCAGGTTCAAATGATTCTCCTGCCTCGGCCTCCCAAGTAGTTGGGTTTACAGGTGCCTGCCACCATGCCCAGTTTTTGTATTTTTAGTAGAGACAGGGTTTCACCATGTTGATCAGGCAGGTCTTGAACTCCTGACGTCAGGTGATCCACCCGCCTCAGCCTCCCACAGTGCTAGGATTACAGGCATGAGCTGCAGCACCCAGCCAGGATTTTTTTTTTTTTTTTTTTTTTTTTTAAATGGTCAAAATATGAGTCAGGACTCTGCTAGTCCCATTCATGCTATGTCTTGGATATCTCCCAGTCCAGGCTGGTTCTCCACTACTACCTAGGACCATTCAGAGCCTGATTGACATCTTCTTAGACTGGTTCTCCATCATTGCTTGTCCTTGGGGAAGGTACTATTCTCTAGTGCCCTACCTAGAGAAAGTGTATATGTTCTAGGTCTGGGAGGGACGTTGGAGGGTCATCCCGTATGATGTGCTCCCTGACTGGCTAAAGGACAATGACTATCTGCTACATGGTCACAGACCACCCATGCCCTCCTTTCGAGCTTGCTTCAAGAGCATCTTCCGCATCCATACAGAAACTGGCAACATCTGGACCCATCTGCTTGGTGAGTGGTTTGGATGGGGAAAAGTCGAATTCATTGTCTCCCTAACTGCCGAGGGATTATAGAGCCGAACAGAGTTGCTCGGATTCATTGACAGTTGGGGTTCTGCCTTTAAACTACTAATGACTTTGGTTGACCCTTGATCACTGATCTTTAAGACTGAGAGTAAAAGGCCTAGAAACCAAAGAAATTGGGACTAGATATTCTTTTGTGATCCCTGGCAGAACTGTTCTAGGTGGAGACAATTCCCTGTACTTCATAATTTCCGACTATAAAAGTAAAATGTAGGCCGGGCGCGGTGGCTCAAGCCTGTAATCCCAGCACTTTGGGAGGCCGAGACAGGCGGATCACGAGGTCGGGAGATCGAGACCATCCTGGGGAACACGGTGAAACCCCGTCTCTACTAAAAAGTACAAAAAAACTAGCCGGGCGTGGTGTCGGGCGCCTGTAGTCCCAGCTACTCGGGAGGCTGAAGCAGGAGAATGGCGTAAACCCGGGAGGTGGAGCTTGCAGTGAGCTGAGATCCGGCCACTGCACTCCAGCCTGGGCGACAGAGCGAGACTCCGTCTCAAAAAAAAAAGTAAAATGCCAACGTTTCAAAAAATGGTCTTTTTGTCTGGGTTTCTGTGACCGGTGCCACTTTCTTTGAAACTTTTGACTGCAATTACACAGCTAAACCTCATAGCTTTCTGATTTTTTCTTTCTTTTCAATAGCTCTTGGGCTACAAAGGGTGGGGATTGGATTTGGTTACATGGATGAATTATATACTGGTGAATTCTGAGATTTTAATGCACCTATCACCTGAGCAGTGTACATTGTACCCAATATGTAGTTTTTCTATCCCACACCCCTATCTCACCCTCCCGCTTCTGAGTCTCCATAATCCATTATATCACTCTGTAGGCCTTTGCATACTCATAGCTTAGCTCCCACTTGTAAGTGAGAACATACATAGTATTTGATTTTTCATTCCTAAGTTACTTCACTTAGAATAGTGGCCTTCAGCTTCATTCAGGTTGCTGCAAAAGACATTATTGCATTCGTTTTTATGGCTGAGTAGTATTCCATGGTGTACATACACCACATTTTCTTTATTCACTCATTGGTCAATGGACACTTAGGTTGGTTCCATATCTTTAGAGTTGTGAATTGTGCTACAATAAACATAACATGGGCATGTGTCTTTTTCATATGACTGCTTTTCCTTTGGGTAGATACCTAATAGTGGGATTGGTGGATCAAATAGTAGCTCTACTTTTAGTTCTTTAAGGAATCTCTGTACCCTTTTCCATAAAGGTTATACTAATTTATAATTTACATTCCCGCAAGGAGTGTATAAGCATTCCCCTTTCACCACATCCATGCCAACATCTGTTGTTTTTTGACTTCTTAATAATGGCCTTTCTTGCAGGAGTAAGGTGGTATCTCATAGTACTTTTAATTTCTATTTCCCTGATCGTTAGTGATGTTGCCCGTAGCTCACTGATTCAAAAACATCAACCGTCAAAGCGTACACATTCCCTTTTTTCTTACAGGTTTTTTTAATTTTACCCTCCTGCAGGTTTCGTGCTGTTTCTCTTTTTGGGAATCTTGACCATGCTCAGACCAAATATGTACTTCATGGCCCCTCTACAGGAGAAGGTGGTTTTTGGGATGTTCTTTTTGGGTGCAGTGCTCTGCCTCAGCTTCTCCTGGCTCTTTCACACCGTCTATTGTCATTCAGAGAAAGTCTCTCGGACTTTTTCCAAGTGAGTTGAAAGAACACCATAGGAAAGGACTGTGCACTGTTGTCACATCTTGAGATCCCAGTGCTTACTGGGTGCTAGGAGCTCATATTACTCCTAAAGGTTTCTTGATATGCCAGAGGAAAACCTCTCTGTTCTGTGGGGATAGTGGGGGTGATGAAGCTTTTCTCCTGAACAGTTAATGAACAGACTTACTGCATCCTCCTCAACAGATGGAGGGACCAATTGTGGAATATATTTTCTACCTGAAAAGTACTATCTTTTGTGCGGCTTAGAGTGCCAGTGCACTGGCTGCTTTCCAAGACCTTGTACCCATTCCTAGCGTAACTTACTATTAGCCCAAGCCAGAGTAGGGTGTGGTGAATAGTCTGTGCTTCATTCTGCTGGTGCTCCTACCCACCAGTCAAGTAAAGCTTATCTTTGCTGCCCATGCATTGCTGGAAGCTCCAGATGTCCATCATCGTGTGCTTTCTCTCTTCCCCAGCTGTGAGCCTGGGGTTCTATTTGTTTGCTTGTTTTTGTTATTATTGGTTTTGGTGGTGACAGTGGTATATTATTTTGTTTTTCCTAACATCATCAGTAAGAAGGGTACATTTTCCTCATTTAAAAAGTCAACTAAGATAGAAAAAGCTAGAGTATCCCTTAGTGCCACTCCCAATTTAAGAATTTTGTTTTTAGAACTCATTCTATCAGAATAGGAGAATTTTCAAAGCCCTTCCTGAGTGTGATGCTGGGAACCAGCTGGATTGTGATGGAATTTCTATATTCGAGTGTCTACTAGGGGAGATACAGCTGTTCACTAGTAAGGGAAAGGGATAGAATTCTTTGAATGGGGATTCTTAGAGACTTTTCCGTCATAAAATAGAAGTGACCTTGTGGAATTTTAATCCAGAATACAGGATAGATTGTATGGGAAGTGAGGGGATGGTTCAATCTGGGAGCAGGTGGAGAACAGAAAGAGCTAGTTAAAGGAGCCATACAAATTCATTTCCCCCACTGATTTGTTTCATTTTTGTGGTTCTTTTTAGACTGGACTATTCAGGGATTGCTCTTCTAATTATGGGGAGCTTTGTCCCCTGGCTCTATTATTCCTTCTACTGCTCCCCACAGCCACGGCTCATCTACCTCTCCATCGTCTGTGTCCTGGGCATTTCTGCCATCATTGTGGCGCAGTGGGACCGGTTTGCCACTCCTAAGCACCGGCAGACAAGAGCAGGTAGGTCGGAAGACATATGTCAACCTCAAAAGTATTTAGACCTTAGGCCTAATAGGCTCAAACCTATCTGAGCCTTAAGGTTTGCAGCTTGAGAACCCCACCCAAGCCCTGATTTGTGTTTCAGAACTTTCAAAACAGCATCAGTTTCAAAGCTCAGTTCATACTATTTCAGTAGAATGCTAATAGGACAGATCATTACCCAGCTGGTCAATTAACTGCAAGCACAGATGTAGCTACTCTTATACTTGGTCTGTGACAGTTTAAAAATGTAGCAAGCACAGTAATTTTAGTGACCTGAGTCCCAAGCTCAGACCAATGGATTAAAATTAAAACCCTCAGAGGCATTTTACTAAGGGAATGGAATACCTGGTTTGGTGAATGAAAATACCTTGAGCATAAACACTGGTAACAAAGTAATAGCTACAAGCATAAACATCTTTGTGTTGTCTCATCTCATCTGGACTCTTATTTTAAGCTTTCGTTACTTGCAGCAACACCACCAATTACCACTAGTCTTTAGCTCCTTTACAATTAATATCTGCTATATTTTAACCTTCAGTTAATTAAATACTGTCTGGGAGCAGTGGCTCACGTCTGTTATCCCAGCACTTTGGGGGGCCGAGGTGGGCGGATCACTTGAAGTCAGGAGTTCGAGACTAGCCTCTCCAACATGGTAAAACCCTGTTTTTATTAAAAATATAAAAGTTAGTCGGCGCTGTGGCAGGCGCCTGTAATCCCAGCTCCTCGAGAGGCTGAGGCGGGAGAATCACTTGAACCCAGGGAGGGCAGAGGTTGCAGTGAGCCAAGATTGCGCTGCTGCACTCCAGCCTGGGCAACAAAGAAAGACTCTATGTCAAAAAAAAGAAAAAAAAGAAAAAAGAAAAGAAAAAGAGAGAAAAGGAAAAGAAAAGAAAAGAAAAATAATAATGAAATATTTATCAAGCACCAGCCACGTGCCATGCACTGTGCTTAAACAAGGGTATCTACAAAGATGGAGAGGTAGTCCCTGCCCTTCAGTGATGTGTAGTGTAATGGTGTTGAGACAAGTACCCATTCTTCCCTTGCTCTTGCCTTATCTGTGTGTCCCGGCAGCTACAGGATAACTGCTAATCTGGGTATATCTGTCTACTCAGGAGGTCAGAGTCCCGGTTATGTAAGACTTTTATGATCTTAACAGGAAGCCTCCTGTACGCTTCTCTGACTTGGGAGCCAACTGAAGCCTTTGCCATCTAAGTTCTGTACCCAAAGTAGACATCAGAGGGTCTTGACATATCATTTTTACCCAAATTCCTTAACAGATAATGAAAAATACGAGATGTTTGTTCTTGGTGCTCCTTAAAAGGTAGTAAGCACTTACACAGCTTCTTCCCATTCAGGACATAGAAGAAATATCTGCTGAGTGTTATCCATCTGGTAACTAAGTTTCCTAAACATGTACTGTTCATCCAAAAATAGCTAATTATCATAAACATTGAAATTTCAGAGTAAGCAGTGCCTTCCATGTGGTGGCTGTTTCCTTGTCTGACAGTCTTATGTCTGTTCTGTTCAGGCGTGTTCCTGGGACTTGGCTTAAGTGGCGTCGTGCCCACCATGCACTTTACTATTGCTGAGGGCTTTGTCAAGGCCACCACAGTGGGCCAGATGGGCTGGTTCTTCCTCATGGCTGTGATGTACATCACTGGAGCTGGCCTTTATGCTGCTCGAATTCCTGAGCGCTTCTTTCCTGGAAAATTTGACATATGGGTAAGAAATGAGTCTTCCAGCAGGGCCTGTGATGGTGAATGAACAGCCCACATTTAAAGGTCTGAGGCAAAGGTGGTGAGAGACTGGGATCATATAGTGTGTGGAGGTACATACATGTACATTGAAGGAAAATTGTCAGTGTTAACATTTTGGTGTATTTCTGACAAGGACTGTGTTTTTAAAACTATACCACTTTTATGATATTAAAACAAATTTGTTTAATTAAGGAGAAACTAGAAGTAGCAAATGCTTTCTCCTACTTGTTTCTTATTCCTCCTTGCATTATCCTAAAGGCTCTTCTCTTTTTTATTCCTACAGTTCCAGTCTCATCAGATTTTCCATGTCCTGGTGGTGGCAGCAGCCTTTGTCCACTTCTATGGGGTCTCCAACCTTCAGGAATTCCGTTACGGCCTGGAAGGCGGCTGTACTGATGACACCCTTCTCTGAGCCTTCCCACCTGCGGGGTGGAGGAGGAACTTCCCAAGTGCTTTTAAAAATAACTTCTTTGCTGAAGTGAGAGGAAGAGTCTGAGTTGTCTGTTTCCGGAAGAAACCTCTTAGAGAATTCAGTACCAACCAAGCTTCAGCCCAGTTTCACCCCCACTGGGCAATAAACTTTCCATTTCCATTCTCCTAGCTGGGGATGGGGCATGGTGAGACTTAGCCATCCCCCCCCAGCAGTTACCCTCCTCAGCAAGGCATCTACCGGCCCCTCACAGAGACAGTACTTTGAAACTCATGTTGAGATTTTATCCTCTCCTCCAGCCATTTTGGGAAAATTTTGGACTGGGACTCTTCAGAAATTCTGTCTTTTTTTCTGGAAGAAAATGTCCCTCCCTTACCCCCATCCTTAACTTTGTATCCTGGCTTATAAGAGGCCATCCATTTTTGTAGCACACTTTTCAAAAACAATTATATACCCTGGTCCCATCTTTCTAGGGCCTGGATCTGCTTACAGAGCAGGAAGAAGCAAGCCACCAACTTTTACCTAGCCCGGCTAATCATGGAAGTGTGTCCAGGCTTCAAGTAACTTGAGTTTTAATTTTTTTTTTTTTCTTGGCAGAGTAATGTAAAATTTAAATGGGGAAAGATATTTAATATTTAATACTAAGCTTTAAAAAGAAACCTGCTATCATTGCTATGTATCTTGATGCAAAGACTATGATGTTAATAAAAGAAAGTACAGAAGACACTTGGCATTCAAAGATTTCACATGTATGGTCTTGATTATTTGCACACAACTCCAAAAGATTAAGTCAGACCTGTGATAATTTCAGATTCTCCTGAGGCACAAATTTGAATCATAGGCATTGACAGGCTGACACATGCAGGCCAATAAATGAACCTAATTGAATTCCTAGCATCCGTTCCCCAATACAGCTTTTTTATGTAATTGTTGCACGAATTATCTTTTTACATTTTTAAATTTTTTTTTCATAGAGCCATTTGAAAAGAACAGACCATCTTGTTAGAGAAATCAGTATGTTATAGTAGTGTTCAATAATTAGGAGATTCTCAGGGCCGGGTGCAATGGCTCACGCCTGTAATCCCAGCACTTTGGGACTCCGAGGCGGGTGTATTGCTTGAGACCGGGAGTTCGAGACCAACATGGCCAACATGGTAAAACCCCATCTCTACTAAAAATACAAAAATTAGCCTCGTGTGGTGGTGGGCGCCTGTAATCCCAGCTACTCAAGAGGCTAAGGCACGAGAATCACTTGAACCCGGAAGGTGGAGGTTGCAGTGAGCTGAGATCACACCGCTGCACTCGCCTGGGCAACAGAGCAAGACTGTCTCAAAAAAATAATAGTAATAGGTTGGACGCGGTGACTCATGCCTTTAAGCACTTTGGGAGGCTGAGGTGGGTGGATCACAAGGTCAGGAGTTCAAGACCAGCCTGGCCAAGATGGTGAAACCCTGTCTCTACTAAAAATAAAAAAATTAGCCAGACGTGGCAGACCCGTGTAATCCCAGCTACTTGTTGCTTGAACTTGGGAGGCGGACGTTGCAGTGAGCCAAGATGGTGCCACTGCATTCCAGGCAGCAGAGTGATACTCCATCTCAAAAAAAAAAAAAAAAGGTAATAGTAGTAATAATTAGAAGATTATCAAAAGTGTTGGAATATATCCCAAAGTTTAGGGATATATCCCACATTGCCTAAGGTTGTCTCATCCAGGGGTCATTCCATGCCTTTCAGTGCTACTGTGAATTGTGCTCAAGCTGACATGAGTGCTGTTCATTATATAGCACAAGATAGCAGTAATCACTTCTCAGCTAATACAGGCAGTTTAAGGGCAGTCGTCTTGAGTTAAGGTTGGGTTCACATCAAGGGTCAAGTTTCTACAGTGGAAGAACAAATTATCCTTTTAAAAAAATAATCCACCTACACCAACAGGAAAAGTTTCTCTGCCTCAAGTGGTAACCAGGGAAATGTAAATTAAAACCAAAATGATAAACTGTCTCACTCTGACCAGACTGAAACCAAATTAGAAGCCTAATATTGAGTGTTGGTGCAGATGTGGAGCAGACCAGATGCTGCTGGTGGAAGTATACATTGGTAGGACCACTTTATGTGGACACACACAGAGTATATACATGTTACAACGTTCAAACATTTCGTGAAACGACACTATACAATATGAAATGCATCTGATACCTACCCTAGGTTACTTAAAAACAGTGCTGGCTGACCCACTAAATTGTTCTCATGACTCAGTAATGGGTCACTACTCGCGCTTCGAAACACACTGCTCTTGAAAAACCTGGCTTGTGCCAAAGGGTTCATTGCAACTGTCTAGTAGCAAAATATTGCAAACAAGCCAAATGTCCAAAACTGTTGAATGGAAAAATGTATCTTGGTGTATTCATATAATGAAACACTACTGGTGAAAATGAATTACAGTGACAAGCAACAGGATGGTTGAGCCTCAGAAATAAGATTGGCAGGAAGGGAGGGAAGCAACAGAATACATTTGCATAATTGCATGTATGTAAAATTAAGAAACTTGCAAAATTAATGATAGGTTTAAGGATACAAACATGATAAAAACTTTAAAGAGGGAATGTTAATTCAGAATAATGTTTACCTCTGAAGGACGAAGAATCTTTAAAGTTTATGTTATTTGAAGTTAGGTGGTGACCACATGTGTGATCCTTGTGCCTAGGATCATGTGATACTTACTGCCTTTATACAATGAATGTTTTATATGTTTAATCCAAAACCATTTTAAGTCTTAAAAAATGCTTGAGGAACTGTTGGCAGAAGTCACAAACTGATGACCCGTACACCAAAAACATCCATAGACATGTTTGGCCTTGCACAGTGAGAATCATCAACGGTGGCCCAAAAGCAGTTATGTATGTCCTTTATAGAAGGCTGGTGCTCCCCAGTTCATCATGGTCCCTACCTAGAATGATGGTCTCAGTGCAGTCATCTGCTGGCCCCTGCAGGCATCTGAGTTTGCAGCCGCTAGTATAAGAAATGGAAGGAAACCTAGGGATCGTATCTGATCCAACTCCATGTTCTAGATGAGGAAATGAGATCCATAGCCGTTCAGAAGGCTTAGTGTGTGGGGGAGGATTGCACGAGTCCAGGAGTTGGAGGCTGTAGTGAGCTGTTACCACACCACTGCACTCCAGTCTAGGCGACAGAGCAAGAGCCAATCTCTTAAAAACATAAAATAAAATAAATTTAAAAACAACCTAATGTGTGTTTCTTCATTTCCCCGTACTAGACGAGAGCAGGGAAAGAGGATCTAAGAGAGAACATTTATTGAGCACCTATTTGGTACTTTTAGTATGTCATTTTATATCGTTGACTCTGTGGAATGCATAGTAAGTGTAGGTAGAAAATAAGTTAGTCTTTCCCCTAGTTCTTCATTCACTAATAAGAAAGGGATAGAATCAGATTCTCAGCTTTCATTCTTGGCCTTTTTTTTTTTCTTTTTTGAGTCAGAGTCTTGCTCTGTTACCCAGGCTGGAGTGCCATGGTGTGATCTCGGCTCACTGCAACCTGGCTCACTGGGGTTCAAGCGATTCTCCTGCCTCAGCCTCCCAAGTAGCTGGGATTACAGGCACATGCCACAAAGCCCAGCTAATTTTTGTATTTTTAGTAGAGATGGGGTTCCACCATGTTGGCCGGGGGCTGGTCTCAAACTCCTGACCTCAAGTGATCTGCCCACCTCGGCCTTTCTTTAATGACAGTTCATTAGTGTTTCTGTCATTTACTTATTCCATAGTGCCTAGCACCTAACAGGTTTGAGGACCACACTGGATTTCAGCTGCTATGGATCTGCTTATTGCCTCATCTAGAAAATGGATGGAGTTATATCAGGTGTGATATCTAGGTTTCCTTCCAGTTCAATACTAGTGGCTGCAAATTCAGATCCCGCCAGGAAACTAATACTTTTTCCTAAGGTGAGGGACAGGATTGGAGCCAGTATCTGAATCCAGGTCATTCTCATTTAAAGCCCATGTTATAAAGACTCAGGTCACTTAAAAATTCCTTTTGCTCCTATTTTCAACATCTTCCCTTGCTTTTGTCAGAACTGCTAACTAGCAGCAAGTCACTGTTACCTTCTTTCTCTAATTGCATACTTCTGGTTCATTCACTTACTTTCTAAATACTTGAGGACCTGTTATGTGCTAGGCATTACAGAACAAATAACAAAAACACTGATGAACTTGAATTAAAGAAAGGCAAAGAATAAAAGCTAAGAATCTGATTTTACCCCTTTTCCTATCACTAAATCAAAAAATAGGGGAGAGCCTAACTTATCTCTATAAGCCATCCATTTTCTTTTTAAAAAAATTTTCGTTCTTTTTTTAAATTTGAGGGGTGTGTGTGTGTGTGTGTGTGTGTGTGTGTGTGTGTTTTTTCTATTGACTGATATGGTTTGGCTGTGTCCTCACCCAAATCTCGTTTTGAATTGTAGTTCCCATAGTCCCCATGTGTCGTGGGATGGATCTAGTGGGAGGTAATTTAATCATAGGGGTGGTTACCCTCATGCTGTTCTCATGAGAGTGAGTGAATTCCCACGAGATCTGATGGTTTTATAAGGGGTTTTCCCCCTCTTACTTGGCACTTCTTGCCATCGCCATGTGAAGAAGGATGTGTTTGCTTCCCCTTCCACCACGATTGTAAGTTTCCCTAGGCTTCCCTATGAATGCTGAAATATGAGCCAATTAAAACTCTTTCCTGGCTGGGCACGGTGGCTCACGCCTACAATCCCAGCACGTTGGGATGCCGAGGCGGGTGGATCACTTGAGGTCAGGAGTTCAGTACCAGCCTGGCCAACATGCTGAAACCCTGTCTCTACTAAAAATACAAAAATCAGCCAGGCTGACCAGGCTCAGTGGCTCACGCTTGTAATCCCAGCACTTTGGGAGGCCGAGGTGGGTGGATCACTTGAGGTCAGGAGTTCAAGAACAGCCTGACCAACATGGTGAAACCCCATCTCTACTAAAAATACAAAAAATTTAGCTGAGTGTGGTGGCAGACACCTGTAATCCCAGCTACTTAGGAGGCTGAGTCACAAGAATCACTTGAACCTGGGAGGCAGAGGTTGCAGTGAGCCAAGATTACACCACTGCACTCCAACCTGGGTAACAGAGTGAGACTCCGTCTCAAACAAACAAACAAACAAAAACCAGCCAGGCATGGTGGCTCACTCCTGTAATCCCAGCTACGTGGGAGGATGAGGCAGGAGACTTGCTTGAACCTGGGAGGTAGAGGTTGCAGCGAGCTGAGATTGCACCACTGCAGTCCAGCCTGGGCAACAGAGCAAGATTCCATCTTAAAAAAAATTTTTTTTTTCCTTTATAAATTATCCAGTCTGGGGAATATCTTTGTTAGCAGCCAGAGAACAGACTAATACACCATCCATTTTTAATTTTTAAAAAATATAACTTTGGGAACATTAGTAAATTTGGATTATTGCAAATGAATAGGACCCAAAGAAATTCTCACATGTCCTGCGTGTTAGTCTAGTTCTCAGGAAAGTGCTTGCTAAGATGAAATTAAATGTGCATATATTGTATTAGGGGAAATGCTTATATGTAAAGGAAAATAGGAAGGGGCCCACAGAAGACTGGGACAGCCACTAGACCTTGAGGAAAAGAGAATAGGGAACAGCGTTCTAAGCTGCCTTGCAATCTAAGGAAGGTTCAGCAAAGTTGTTTCGGGGAGGTCCTTGATCTGTTGACAAG